CATACTACAACTATGCTCCGCACTTAGAGATCCTACTTTAGGTAAACAACATCAAAACTGTCACTCCTGCCCATTTTGAAGCTGTGCATAATTAGATGTGCATTTAGAAATAATGTTTAAGTTATTAAGCATCACGCTGCATTAGACATCATGTTATAGTATCGCACTTATTCAATCAAACTAGTCTAAATACAGACGTATAAACAGTCCTCCTGTTCTAAACAAACTGGTAATTAGTCTCTGGATGTTTGCAACATTTACAATTGCATGCTATTAGGTATAACAACCTGGAATTATTAACAAATATGAATAACTGCTACATATTATTTTACGCCTAGGCAAGCCTTAGGTAACCGCCTTTAAAATAAAACTAGAACCATCTTTGTGATTAGTATTTAACTGTCAGCATGTTAAAATTAGTAGGCAAGCCTGATTAGGACTTCCTTTCTGAGTTATGTAATAAATCTGACTCTGATGTTATCACTTAGATACCATGCTTAGGATCTGAATTTAGACCTTAATTGTGTATGAGTCATGTTGTTTATGTGTATTATGTGTGGAGGCATATCTGAGCCTTTTATTTATCTTCCATGCTCCCCTTTAATTGAAGTCCAATCTGTTTATTACGTGTCACCTTAGTATTTTACCTTTAAACTTGAGGGTCTGCCTAGAACCCCCTTTTTTATAGGATAGGAGTCCTAAATTCCTCCGGGACTAATAGGAAGGGATGAGCAAAAGCATTCAATAGGGGTCGAGACCAACCCTCACTTTAATTACCTTCATGAGGTGGGAAAGGGTAGATATGGATATGATAATTGGTGCATTAATATCACGTGTATCCCCTCTTTGAGGAGTATCATACTGGGTATTGCATTGATGTGATCCATATTATAAACAAACCTAGTATACCCCTTTACATTCGTAAATATGCTTAGATTGTAATTCTTTTCAAAATCTAGCTTTTCATTAACTATTTTCAAACATTTGTGTACTTAAACTTAAATCCCCTATTATTGGAGCCATACATGTTTATTTGCTAAATTGTACAAATCCACAAAAGTTGTTTGGCCAGGAACAACACTGGTGGATCCTGAGGGGTGCGTGACACCTTCCCCTTAGGATAATTTCAAGACCTTACCCTATCTCTAGTTACCAAGCGCAATTATAAATGAACCCCCTAGGTGCCCTAACGCACTTTAAATTGTTAGGTGGCGACTCTTCAAAATGCAAAGCCCTTTCCCAAAGGAACGAGTTGTCTCAACCAAAATGTCATAAATCCGATTTCGCGAGAAAAACTAGGTGCGACAGCATGGCGACTTCGCTAGGGATTTTTAGTCTTTTACCATTTCAGATCGTTTTTGTGAATTTGTACCCCCTATGTGCAATTATTTGTTTAATTCCTTTAAGCTTTTAATTTCTTATTCAAAAGAAAACTAACGTATCTTTCTGTTTCCTTCCTTTGTAAGCGTTTTAAATTATAAAGTTACTGTGTTTATTGCTTTCTGAATATGCAAATACATGACAACATGCTTTTAATTATACATAATCATGCTCAATATCATACTCCACTCATGCCAAAAAAAATACTATAACAATGCTTGATGAGTGGTTGCACCATTCCTATATCATTACCCCCTAAATTTAGAAAGGCTTATTTGCGGTAAAACTAGTCGATCAGCGGTGCAGTCGATGGTTCTGTGCCTTCCCCCTTGAGTTGTCCGCTTAAGGGTACTAGTCTAAAATAGAGACCTTACTCTATTATTGTTGTTGCATGCATCATAGTGAAACCTAGCCAGACTAAAAGTGTTGTCCGCACAATAGCTTTTAAGGTAGCCTTGTCCATAGTCCACTGGGTTTCCCTAAACCTAAACGGACATCATCACGTTCAAAGCATTTATTTGGAGAACTAAATGTTTCATGCTAATTGTTGATGTTAAATAGTCGAGTCTGGTAGGGGGTAAGGGCCTAACTTTGTTTGCCTTGCAGAAATTTAAGGCACGATGTCACCAGATTCGGAATGGTCACCAATATCCACCCAAGATTGCTGAGTTGGTAGGAAGATTTACCTTCTAGTGACAAAACCCTCGTCAGAAAATATCTGGGTAATCTACCATCCCTCCTGGAGATCCAGTCTAACAACATGATAATAGAGGCTGCTACCTTATTTTGGGATTGTGAAAGGGCGTAGTTACTAAGCGTAGTTATAAATGAACCCCCTAGGTGCCCTAACGCACTTTAAATCGTTAGGTGGCGACTCTTCAAAATGCAAAGCCCTTTCCCAAAGGAACGAGTTGTCTCAACCAAAATGTCATAAACCCAATTTCACGAGAAAACTAGGCGCGATAGCATGGCGACTCCGCTGGGGATTTTTAGGTTTTTACCATTTCAGATTGTTTTTGTGAATTTGTACCCCCTATGTGCAATTATTTGTTTAATTCCTTTAAGCGTTTAATTTCTTCTTCAAAAGAAAACTAACGTATCTTTCTGTTTCCTTCCTTTGTAAGCGTTTTAAATTATAAAGCTGTTGTATTTATCGCTTTCTGAATATGCAAATACATGAGAACATGCTTTTAATTATTACATAATCATGCTCAACATCATACTCCATTCATGCCAAACAAAATACTATAACAATTCTATCAAAACCCTAGATAACAAACTAGCTATTCATAATAGTATGTAAAACTACAATACTAATAGTCATGACCAACAATGAAAAATAGGAAGAGGAAGGAAAAACTCGTAGAAGAATTCCCCGTCTTGCTCCTATTGTGTCTCAGCCTCCTTAGGTCTAATATGTGTCAAAAGTGTGTCCAACCTCTTAAAATACCGTTTTCCATGAATATATACCAAGTAAGATTGGGCCCAAATATTTATACATTCTCCTATGTTATAAAGGACAATTTTTCAGGTCTAGACGCTCGCGGTCGCGGTCCAGGTGCGGTATTTTCCCAGTGCACTACCTCAGTCCGAATCAAGGACCGCGGTCGCAGTTTTGACTGCATTTTTCACCCTGTTTGGTTTGGAATTAGGAAAAATGTAAAGCAAAAACTTTGTAGCCCTTTGAATTGCCTTTTTCACCATATATTATATAGTCCAAATGGAGTTCGGAGCCAAGGGTTATGTCTATTTTACTAGACAATGTGCAATATGCCTACTCGAGTATTTGTTTGTTCTTAACTATCAAATATGACCCCCGAACACGATCCCGGCTTAATTTCTTGGACTTTTACTCAGACTTCAAAGCTCCAAATAACTAGAATTCATTCCATAACATCTATATAGCTTGTAATCAATCCTACACGACATAAAATACACCATTAGTAAAAAACACTAGCGATTAAAGCTCAAACTCAATTAAAGTGCAGTAAATTAGAGTGTAATAAGCGACTAATATATGCAATTATAGCCTATCATCACATGCGGAAAAGGTTTAGGAATCTCAGGTATGCGAAACTTCATCGGGATCGGCTTGGGTGCTATGCTTGGGTGAAAAGGTTTTTGCAAGAACTTTTGGGAGTCCATACCCTTCAGTATCGGCGTTTCCCCGGGATTTGATCGACCATAGAGTTGTAAGTTTCCACCTTCTTATCGTTTTCCTCGATACTCTTTTTGCCCTAGTCAGTTCATTTTAGGAGTTCCTCAAGCATATTCATGATTACAGGATTGGTCTCTGATACTTTCTTGTTCGATCTTCTTGAGACTGATTCGACCATGTGGGCAACTTCCTGGGACGACTCGGGCACGATCCTACTCGGTGGGTAATTCTGGTTTTGGAGCTGGGCTATCGCTGCCTATGCCTGCCGAGCCTACAACATTTCAAAGATCACCCGTGGGTTGATCCCGCCATCTTCGTTGCCATGTGTGCTTTGAGCAACTGATAGAACATCCCTACAGATGATTCCCTTGAGATCGACGACCAAATTTGCCTTGACAGCGACATTTTAGCTGATGTCGATTAGATTTACGGCCAGAACTCCACCGAGATCGATTGGGGGTACGTCATTCCCTGGTGTTATGTTATCATTTTCACCGTGGTGGCCGAAATTATTATCAACGTGTAGGGGTGCTGACTGAGAGATCAACATTTCGGTCCTGGAATCAAAGATACTCCAAAGAAGTAGTGTAAAATAGTGGGTGTTATGAAAGTTTGTATTAAGTAACAACTATTTTCCTTAGCCCTAAGATGGGCGCCAAACTGTTTAGCCCCATAATCGGGTAACAATTGAATTTATACGCATCTTTTAAGATACGTGATATAACGTGACACAAGTTGAGAAAATAGATTAAAACTGAAATTAACGATAAAAAAATAAATGCAAACCACACGAATTGAGTAGTCTTAGCCTTGGAGTTTGATCACCCTCTAGAAGAGAACTGCCTCAATCGATGTCAGAATAGAATAAGATGATAATGAGACCTTGAAATAACAGTGTATTGCTTTTTAATGTGTGTTACAATGTGTATTATAAATAATCAGACCCCTTTTATATAGTAGGGGAGTCCTACTTTAGATATAATTCCACAAAAGGTAAGAAATCTCATGTTTTGCTAATTAATAGGTCATTCGTTGATATGTGCCAAGAATCTCACCGTGATATTTGACCGGTTACTGATATTTCGGCCTTCCGTTATTCGGTCTGATAATATTCCTTGATCTTGGTCGGAGTCCGAGTCGGTTCCGGAGCTATGAGCTCGATGATCTTGAAGACGCATGCTCTAACTTCGTATCTTGGTTCGATATAATTCGGGGTCGATCTTTAACCCATCACGTTTCAGCCCCGGTCTCTCACGCAATAGAAGAGCTGTTTCTACCATATACAGCATTGCTAATGGCCATGGAAGCCCATTTCCTCGAAATTATTTGGATAACGTGAATATATTAGTTAGGTTAGCGTCTAATAGTGCTTACTTTTGAAAAGATCAAAGACGTACCAACCCCGATGAGAAAAGAGTGTCATATATAGCCTTGACAAGAGCTGAGTGGTTCTAACACCAAAATGTTTAGATCGCAGCTCGTGTCAATATTCTTCATTTTATCTTTTGCTCTTTCTCCCGTTTACGGGGATTTCGACCAAATGCAACTCGTCTTAACATGGCCACCGACTTATTGCCACGAAAAGAGTTGCGCAAGAATTCCAACAAATTTCAGAATTCATGGGCTTTGGCCAGACAACCAGCACGAACTGCTGAATAACTGTAAGAAGTCGTTTACGACAATCACGGTATAATCACAACATTATTTTATCAATTGCTTATAAATTTTTCTTTATTCATTTCGACATTTTCCTTTTTGTTATTACTATTACTTTATTAATTGAAGCTGTGTCCCTAATTTTTATAGAATAGCAGTAAAAGCAATGCGCTGGACGACCGCTGGCCTGATCTAAAATACAGCAAAATGAAAACTATACAAACACAAGATTTCTGGAAGTATCAGTACAACAAACACGGAACATGTTGTATTGAGCTCTACAGTCAAGAAGCATATTTTGATCTTGCCATGAAGTTAAAAGACAAGTTTGATCTTTTGCAAATGCTCAAAAGTCAAGGAGTTATTCCTGGAAAAACTTACACTGTTAACAAGATTGAAGAAGCCATCAGGGAAGTTACTCAAGCGTATCCTAACCTCAATTGCATTGGTGATCCACTAAAAACAATGGAACTCAAAGAGATAGGTATCTGTTTCAACCGAGAGGCAACTGAAGTGGTTGCTTGTCATCGACGTGAGACATGCAACCCATTGAACAAGAATAAAATTAGTTTTCCACTATGATTATCTCCCAATTAATTTCTATTTAAGTGCTTTGTGATATGTATAATTTGAACGCAATACTCTGCGACAACCAACACAATAAAGCAATAATTTGTTTTGAAAGACCACTTTGTCGAACCCCTGGAACTGACATTCCCTATCAATTTATGATAGTAATTGCGAAATTCACGCTGTACACTGCTGTGTCAATTTTGCATATGTATACGGTCGAAATCAGAGAGCTCGATTTCGAGGACGTAACAGTGCCCCGGGCTCGAGTCCGGGCAGCACGAGTTAGAGACCAGCTCTGACTGGAAAATGCATACCTCGAGGGAGGAAATCGGAGGCCCGTCATGATCTGCCGCGGGGGCAATGCAATTTCGATGACACTAAAAAAAAGCAAGAATTTCATAAGGACACGTAGATCAAAGCATAAATTATGGGATAAGATTTGTACGAAATAGTATGAGTCTTACTAGGTTGTTATACCGCTATACCAATAAAATTCTTTACCACATTTGGAAATGTACCATATTAGAGTTTTACCCTCCTATATAAAGGGGACCCCAATCATTTGTAAAGATATCTCATTGACTACAATAGAACATTCTACTCTGCTTTTCTCGTTTACCGTACTCGTGATTGTTGTTGCGACCTAAACACTCATGCAAGTGTACGCGATCGACAAGTAATATAGTAACAAGTAAAGTATCGTTCTCACGAGGATTTGTGATTAACTTATCAACTTATGCAAACTCAAACAATTATTTATTTAAGCTAATTCATTACAAAATACATAAATAACCAACTTAAAACTTGACTGGTAATTTAACAATAATACTACACCACTTATACAATTTTCTTTTAACAATTAATAAGAGAGATATTCCGGGGTCATGGGCTTGCTAGAGATCATGCTACGCTTTTAGCTTAAAGATAATTTATTGAATTATCTAGGTTATTGGTTATAGGGTTAATAATACCCATAAGAATCTGTCAATATCTTATGCGCCTATTCAAGTTAAATTAATACCTATATTTCTATGGCATTAATATTAACTCAAATGCATTTACAAATCCTATTTCTCAACCAAGCAAGGCAATTAAGTATAGTTCTATCCTAATTGCGAATCTTTCACCCGATGCCCAGGATCCGGATCTTGCTCTATTTGATTCTATATGCAATCAAGAATTTCCTTTTTCAAGTTTAACTCAAGATTCGTAAATAGTATTTCACTATTAGCTACGCAGTAAAATAATTAACAGCAGAATCAAATAAACAACCCATAATGATAAATTCAAGATCATCAATTTAAGATTCAAACATCATAATCATCTAACACCCATAACCCCAGATTAATTGGGTTTTTAGCTACTCATAATTATACAAATATCAACAATAAAAGTCTTAAACATAATATAAGTAAATACAAGAAGAAAGTTTAGAAAAACTCTTTAAGTTCTTGCTTCAAGATTGTAATCCCCTTCTTTTCTTCACTTCAAGATTGAGTCTTCTCTTCCCTTTCTCTCTCTAAAATTATTTCTTCCTCTAAAATCTGATCAATCCAATAATGGAGTTTTTGCTTTATGTAAATTGAGTGGGATTAAGAAGGAATTCCAATTTTACCCCTAAATAAAGTTTCTCCGGATAGGACACGCGCGAACTATCGCGCGAAGTATGGAGTTCGCGCGATACTTCACGCGCTTCTCTTGGATTTCAGGCAGAAAAGCTCGCGAACTATTGCAGGAAGTTTGGAAGTTAGCGCATTAGTTTGCGCGCTTTAGTAGCTCGATTTTGTCCATTTTTCCGTCTCGTCCTTGCGCACACTCGACTCCTAGGGGTTCTTCTTGCTCATAAATCATTCCAATCTCCTCTTGAAAGCATCATTTAGGCTCCTCATCCTGCAATGTATACATATCACAATTAGAGCCTATTTTTCATCAATTAACCATAATATGACATCGGAATATAATCAAGCGGATGCATAAACAATAGCTAAATCACCTAGATTTCGCCTATTATCAATACCCCACACTTAATTCATTGTTAGTCCTCGAGCAATCAACTATATTCTCTAGAGAATCCTTCGCTCAACCATTTCCTTTAACGCATTACACCTAGAACAATATACATGTATCACTCCTAGTAGTGAACAATCCTAGCCTCAAAGTCGGCTCTCAAGTGCCATGCAATATTCACACTTCCTCAAAGTACTCTATATAGAAGTCAAGACTTACTTTTCCGTCACGAATCATATGCCCTCACAATTATATCAACAAAAACTGAGTTCAATCCATCACATTCAATTCATATGCCCACATATATCAAGGAAATCACTCAATCTCACAAAAGAGGTCACATGCATGCAATTGATACCATAAGCTTGCCCTTAATGTAAATCTCTACTACTGTAGGCTAGCTCGATCCAAAATTAGTTAGGACTTTTTCATGGTTGTAATATAGGCTAAGGGACGGGTAGGATGTATTTAGGAATAGTGACTCAACCCCTAAGCACTTTAACACATCACACAAGCACTTTTTAGCATAAATTCTTCAACCCACTGCTCATTTATACACAATGTCATCCCACATATACACCCTTTTTCTTTAAGCACTCTATTAATTTATTCCCACTAGCTAGAGCAAGACACACAGAAATTTGTCACTCAATTTCTGCTAGTGGTGTATTTGTTTACGACATAAGTGCACCTTTCATCCTTTTATTGGTTCCACTCAAAAGCCACCCCACACTTATTTCCT